CTTGAGCAAGTTTTATTGGTTTCACCATCTGGGTAGATCTCTTCCTGGATAGAGTTCTAGTTATCTAAAATAATGACAATAATGTATATTTTCATATAGGCATAAATTTACAATGCTCTCAGGTTTCTTTCACCTGAGATCTGCCTGTTCTGTTTCAGTTACCAGTGTGACGTAGAATTGTCTTTTGTCTTTCCCGGCACTTTTCTTCACCTCTTTATTCAGCACAGTTTACATTGAACTCAGCTTCTCCTTCTGCTGCCCATCTTTGCATTGAGTCATCTCTTTCACTCTCCTCCTCTCTTATATTAGGTTCCGGGTATCCGTTGAGAGCCATTCTGTGTCGTATCTCTTTTCTCTTCCTAGAACAGTTGTGCACGTTTCCCCGAATATCTCCTTCAGAGGGTTCCAATGTTCCTGCACGCAGGTTTCCTCAGTGATACCACATAGTGTCTCCGATTTCGCTCTGGTATCTCTATTGAAGATGTGCTTTACAGTTTTTCCCTCAGTTTCTGGATGTTGAACTTGAATTGTGGTCTGTCTGCACTTGTTTTGATGGACTTCAGCTCCACCTTGAAGGCTCCTTGAACTAAATGATGGTCTGAGTGAGCACGCATCTCCTCCCCTTATCGACTTTGTGTCCAGCAGGCTAGCTGCGTCTCCACTTCCCTCAGCAACACTAGGACGAAATCTATCTGGTTTGTGGTCTGTCCGTCAGGCGAAATCCATGTTGCTTTGTGTATATCCTTTTGCTTGTACACGCTGCCCCCAATCACTAAATCATTGAAGTCGCGGAAGTCTGAGAATAATTCTCCGTTCTCATCCATTTCTCCGACAGCCTCTCGACCCATGATGAGTTCTCTTCCCGTGTTGTATGTTCCCACTTTGGTATTCATTTGGATTTTTCCATTACCGTTTGCCGCTGTCTATAGAAGTCTTCCTTCTTCCCTGCTCCCACGTTGTTTGTAGCACTGTGCGTGGCATTGGATAATTTCGACCTCCCCTCTTCTCGAGTTGAATCTCGCTGTCATGATCCTGAATGAAATTGGTTCCCACAGCATTGGGGCTCTGGCTACCACTGGTGACATCATGATAGCCACTCACTGCCTCAGTGTGCTTGTGGTTGTCGTCTGTATGACAAAACTGGAGTAGATTAATGACTCTCCAGTTGACAATTTTGATACTCCACATCCATTCCATGTGCTCTCACAGATACCCAGAACTTGTACATCGTATGAAAATGTCACATCCCCATTCTTATTCTCGCTTTCATCGGGAGAAGAATCATAGACTAACTGGCTTCCCGAAGGTTTTCGCCAGCCCGCATCATTTCGTCTCTCTGATTCGAGCGAAGAATAATATCATTGTTATTTAAAGTTTTTGTATATTTAATATATTTTATGTGCGTTGAATTTTCTCTATCGGTTTGAAAGGTTTAGTGGTGTGAGGTTGCTAGCCGCACCCTCAAACCTCCCCCTTTACCAGGGTTTGGAACTTGCCAGAAAGCTAGCAAGCTAGTTAAGTAGGCGAGGGATAGACTACATGAGCACGATCCAGTCATTATTATGTTATCTATTTAAGCATCAATTTTCCGCATTCGCACAGATAAACAAGTCGATCTGTGAAGATTAATCACCAGAAGCTGCAGTAACTCCATTTTGATATCCCAGCTGCCCATCGATTCAGTCGTCACATTATCGGTTGAGTGTTATTTCAGTCTACTCTCCTTTAAAAATTAGTCTCCACTTCCCTGGCGTCTTTATACCTGTAGCACTTGTTAACGTGTGTGGGTGGTGAATAGAAATCCCAAACAGGGTTTATATCAAAACTGCCTGTCCCAAATTATGTTGTATTGACTGCAGCAGCTGAGCGCAGCATTATGAAATGTTCTCGAGAAACCGACTTACCAGATGACTTGGTGAATGCCCTACCCTCTTTAGTGTAGTGATAATGTTTCCTCTAAATCAAGGTGGGGGACGAGAATCCAACATATTTAATGCGAATCTTTACTGCAGAATCTATATTCACCATTTTGGGGAGCCACTGATGCCTCCAATAAACCCTGATGTACTCTATGGGCTGCCAACACAACAGCTGAGGCCTATATTAAGTAAATGCCTGTGATAAACAGAGAACAGTTAAGCCCATAAGTTCCCTTTTGGCAGTAAAGGTAATCTACGTCGTCTTGACCGTGAGACTTGACAAAGTCAACTTAACTTGCGACCCCAACGCGACGCTACTCAGAACTGGTCAGAAGCATATCCACACAGCAACTTTCGATGGTGAATTCATAAATACTGTTTTGGTTGCTGAACTACACGAAACCATCAAGGATGTAGTATGATAGAGAACTAGCAGCAGACCATCTTGGCCCCGCCACCCATTCAACGACCACCTTCTCATTGCTAGTATACTGCTAGGACTACCAACAGGCAGCAGTAACACTGTTTCACTTAGTCATGATAGAACAGTCACTCAAGGATAACCCTCCCAGCCATCACTTCTATGGTTAGACTTACTCAGGCTCGCAAGAGAAGCTCTGCAGTTGGCTCCTTAACCATGAGACTATGATGCATTAACCGTGGGCAAGTGTCAGGGGTAGACGAACGGAGTTATCATCAGCACTATGAATGACTTCGTCCCTCTGAAAACTGTAAACCTCCGAAACAAAGATCACTGAATGTAACGAGGCATATTTAGACATTGCCGAGAGGGGAATCAGGCTGTACGGAGTACCAAGCACTGTGGCTTAGCGTAAGATGAAGTTTTACCGAGTAGAAGAAAATTCCATGCCACTAGGAGACCAAACCCAGGAATCTGTAACGATTCATGGCTCATGGGAAGAGCGTCGGCCATGGGGATTATAGCTAGCGATAAGAAGGACAAATGTCTCCGTGATCCATAAGCAATTGAAGCTTTTAATGAGGCATCTGAAAGACAGCCAACCAACAAGTATGATATCGGGGTACACCATTTCGGAACCCATGGTGTGGCTTGATAATAATAATATTTTATTTCTGGAACAGAAACCAGCCATTTTTACAGGCATGAACATATGTACACTAATTAGAACTTATAGAATATATATGATTTGTTAATCTAGAAATAGATTGAATACTGGTAAATTTGAGAAATATTTAAAAAGAAATGTACAAATAAGGCAATAGGTAATTTTCGAGATATGCTTTCAACTGAATAATTCATGAGATATAGCATCAAATCAAAACTGTAATTGAAAAAAACGTTTTAGGAGACCAATTGGTAAGGCTGCATAGAGCTAAGTTTTGGTTGGTCTTATTTAGGAATAACGATCTCGGTTATCGCATGACCATCTATCCTGTTACATCTGAGTTTTGGTCACACCACCTGATGGCCTTTTAGGTTGGCCCCCAATACCGGGTGTTCAGTCTGCTATTAACACCACCCGAACCATTAAAGACACAACGTAACCCTTTTGGCTGTTCAAGGATGTATTTATTAACGATGGTATGAAGAGAATATGGAAATAGACAATCACAACACCACAGATGGCCGCACACTTAGTCAAGTGGGCACAGGTAAGCAAACTGAACGCTGAAAACGAGATGGCTGAAATGCAACCAATTTGGTCCCCTACAAGGATAATCCGCTCAAACAATTTTAAGGGTAGTTCTGGAGAAGTTCACGGAGCCCTAGCAAGAAAATACTCCAGAATGTAATGTGCTAAAGCTTTGCAATTTCCATTAGTTATTCTGTTTGAGGACTCACTGGACAGATGCCAGTTTCCAAGGTATTGGAAGGGACAGTCGGCGAAACCCAAAGTGATGCAGACAGGTGGGTCTACTGCCAAAAATGCCGAAGGTGAAGGAGGCCTTCTAGACAATCACATTCACAACCATCTGAGATGAAAAAGCCTCCTAAACGGAGTTCGATGTAGATCTGTGAAGAAGCAGTCCTGCACCACACATTTTCCGATATTTCGGGACAATTGGGCAACATGTCTAGACCACAAAATTTCAGCCTGTCTTGTGAAAGCAGCAATGGTGGTAAGAGCTAATCTCTCTTCCCTAAAGGTTTATCTTCAGGTAATCCAGTGCCCATCGACGTGACAACCACCCCGTCAACCGTGACCCTATAAAGACGGCTTAACGACCAAGCAGAACAACAGATTAGCACGCGTATACAGGAAAAGTGGATTGGTTCCAAGGGAATGAACTAGCGCTACAAACGTTCCACCTGTCTTTACTTACATTTATAAACTTTACCATCTTTTCTCGTATTTTTTACTACTACCCCCACCTCTGCTGATCTCATCTCTGTTATGTGTGCATTTGCTCCCTCTTCCTTAGTTGTTTCACATCTTATTCTGTTACCTTACCTTCCGTTCGCTAATTCTGCCCATTTTCTAGATTAAATTCTGACATGCTTGGCTCAACATGTTAAGTTACCAGTTATGTGGAGGAACGTTTGTTAGGGACGAGCTTTGCAGGGACATTCCAACTGTTTCTCAGAAGTTATGAGGGGTCTGTTGGTGACAACTTTCTGGGTACTGTCAAAGCTACATGCATGTTGGTTGACGACACCATGGCTAAAGGGCAGAGTTACTCTCATCGCTTACCTACCAACTCGTTAAGGTCAGTGAGAAGGATTAAAAGAAGGCTGTTGAATATTTTCCATATTTGTCTTATATTTGATGATAGGCGAACTTCCACCGCATAGTTGCCCCTATAAAACGTTGAAATAACAATATATAGTATCAGGCTAATTCAATAAGGTAAATTAGAGGTGCCTTACTGATGTTCGCCATTAAATTTTAAAACAACTAAGTTGAACCTGGTATCTTGTGAGTAAATGTTTTTATTTGAGATCTGATTGCATTTTGTCAACCAGAAAATGAAATTCAGACGGAAATGAGAGATATACAAAGAATCAAACTGTTTGATTTACATAATGTCTAGTAGATGTATTGAAAGTCGACACTTGTTTATATACATTGAAGTGTTGGAGTGGAACGCTAATCAAGTAGTAGCGCGTGACCATTTGACGAGGTAAGACTCCACGAGTTGTTAAGGTGAAGTTTGCATCTCACCTTATATTCAATGGCTGTTATTCTAGGTAAGCTTTTGATAACCATTGTAGGTAACGTGTTATAACTATATGGTTGCATTAGAGTGAAGTAAATGGGTTCAGCTGGTTTATTTATCGTGTGTCTAGGCGGCAGTCCGTGAACGCCAAATCCCTCCAGTTCGGGTCTTTGTGTGTTGATGTCGATAGTGCTCAGTTTATTACATATACGGAAAGGACCCATTTTAGTGTAGAGAGACTGATAAGTTGGTTCTGTACTTTTTTAATCTAAACTTGGCGCAAGTTCACTTATGCAGCGATTATATGGTACTACGATGATATGTGTTTGTCATGATAGTTTCCTTGTTGACCATCTGGTAGTCAGTAGTACTAGTAGGTAATTTTGTAAGGAGGTAATAACACGTACTCGGCTTATTACTGAAATTGACTGCACCATATATGATACTAGTGATCATGTCACGATTTTCTCATACACCAGGTTATTATTGTTTCGATAGCTTATTCACATGTTCTTCACTTTTCAGTGTCAATTGGAGTGGTATCGACTAACCTTATCAACTACAATCGTTCCATATGGTTAATCATACTAGGTTTGTGGAGGCAGGGCGCTTAGTATTCATTGCTTCTGGGCCTTATGCAAAGAAGGTTGCAGTCATAGTAGAAATAATCGACCAAAGACGAGTTCTGATTGATGGTCCATGTTCTGGTGTCCCAAGACAAGCTATGAATTTGAACAGACTTCATTTGACAAAGCTAAAATACAAAATTCCTCATGGTTGTGGTACCAACGCAGTTCAGAAGCTATGGTTAAAATATGATATAACAAAAGATTGGGAGAATACTGTATGGGCGAAAAAACTGCACCGCAAATCTCTGCGAGCGTCTATGTCAGATTTTGACCGATTCAAAGTCATGGTTGCTCGTCAACAGGTAAGTAGCACCTTTTTTTTAAATTTGTGATGATATTTTGGAAGAGCCGTCTGCTCCTTTGATGATTTTCTCTATCTGACTATGTTATTTCCAGTAAATAAGTGTTACTGTCTTTTTACTTTTCAGCGGAACAGCATTTTGAAACAATTCAAGATGAAGAAGCCCGAAGGAAAAGTCTCGAAACCTGCAAAGGCTGTTAAGAAATAAACTAATAAACTTTGTGTCCTGTCGCATGCTTCTCATAGTTTTATATTTTGGTGGGTTGTTTCGTGCATATCAGTATGACTGCTCATTATTCGTTCAGTTTAATGGTTGGGTGTTTGGTTTTATAGCAACTGTAGTTAGGCTTGAGTGGGCATAGAAAAAAACCCGTATAATAGTTTCCAGAAGTGAAGTTGACTTGATTGTTTCGGCTGCTAATTCTGGCATTTTCAATCGCAACATGTCAATGCGTTGACAGATGTTGTGATGAATTCTTTGCATAATTCTTCGTAGTATCGGCAAGCCACGTAACTCCTAAGAATTATTCTGTCGAGGATGGATGCTAATCGTTATATAGTACGTCACTCTGCACTGAAGAAAGACAACACTTCATTGATGTGAACGCGTAAGACCTGATAACTAGAGTACGTGGTTGTGATGTATAGGAGGCTTATGTGGCATATATAATTGCTGATAACATTCGGTTCTCAAGCGAGCTTTTGTAAAGTAAACTGTATCGTCCGTGGCAAAGCTATAAGTAATTGTTTGACTTCCATATATTTTGGAACTTTATTCCAGTTGAAGTTCACCATTGGTTTCCACTGTGATCAAGCAAGGATCTGGTCGTTCGTAGCGAGCCGTTCAACTTCTTAGTCTGAGGATGCTTACGGATGGTCTAGCCGGTATTCATAAGCATAAAGAATGATATTAGTCCATGCTTCACACCTATCGGGTGCTAGGTGTCCTTGTAGCTTTCCTCATAACTTGAGAATGATTGGTGATTAGTTGTAATGGATGAAGGAGGTCGTGGAGTTGACATAGATTTAACATGTATGTGTTGGTTCACCATTTACCCCAGTTTAGTGGCCCACGATGAAATACTATGGATGTGCCTCACACTATAAGCAGCAAAAATATATAAACCGACCTCCACTTATAGCTGAAGTTATGAGGAATTTGAAACTGCTAATTTTGGTTAAAGCCTTGTCAATAACCGGAGTTAGAACTATGTCTTCAGAATATTATGACAAAGTACAACAACAGTGTGTAGGTTGGAGTTTACACGGTGATGAAGGTAGATTCTGTTGATACAACTTAAAACCGTTCCTGGTGGAGTGCATGTACCAGTACGTTGTGTTACAAGTCGCTATTACAAAGCTTGTATTTTCGTTTTCTGTCGATAACGCAGCTCTGACTTATCTCTACTTCTGTGTTTATATTAATATTAGGATCATACGTATATAAGTCACATAATTTATTGATAGACAGATGGTCTAATTACTGGTGTTTTATTTCCCTCTACCTTAATCTACAGATAGAACAAAACTTAATTATTTGACAGATGGCTGTTAGTTCCTGTCGGCATGTATTGTCCTATTTACAACCTCTATAGCTTATTCATAATCAGCATAATCCGTTTTGAACTGGCTATCCTATTCTAACACACATTTGTATAAATATTCTGTTAACAGAGTTTGAAATTCTAGAGTGTAGATTTTCAGGGACATCCTAATTATTATTGCGTGTTGGGATAAGAACTTCCTACTTAATCAACTGTAAGAATAGGGTAAATATATACTTCAGACACTAATGCTAACTCATATTTAATTAACTCTCCTTTAACGGTAGTAGAACGATTAACTCCTAACGTCACCTATATCCTGCCTTAACTAGGAATCATAGTCAAGAGGTAGACACGATATTGAGAAAACTGAAAAGTCACCTGTCGATTCTTTTTTTTATTACATTAGTCCCCAGAATAAGTTGTCTAAACTGTAGTAAGACCCTAGTAGTTAACATCAAAAACGGGGGGACTCGTAAGACAAAGTAACTGGAGGTTATTTACTTACTTAAAATGTAAACTTTGCAATACAGGAACGCCACGAAATGCATCATACCCATTCTTCAACCTGAATTGCCACGTCGCTGTTTTTCATCTAGTCCCAGAGGCAGCGAATAGCATAGAAGACTCTTGGACAACATACCGTAGCCGGCGACCCAAAATAACATCACTTATTGAGAGGCGACTTTCATAATATTCAAGCACACTTACACAGTAATGCCAGCACATTAGGGGCTTGAAAATCTTTTTCAATGTAGGAATAACTGCCATTCAGTTCCAATAATTATTCACTAGTGCATATAGGCTAGTTTTTTGTTAAATATAATTCGGCAGCGTTGACTGCTTTTATAGCATTCTGCTGAATATTCTTGAGAGATAACGGTCACACCAATCGCAACTTATAGAAGTACTTTCATCTTGAAGAAAAATAAGCAATTATTAGAACTACCAATTCACTGATTCATAAAGAACTGTTGTGAAGTACACTCCTGGCACTGATGTGCCTGTGACTAAGTTTGAAATAGTCAGTGAGTGAATTCTCAATGTGCAATACGACTTATTGAGACATTTTCTGTGGACAGAATGAAATAACTAATAGTCTCATTTAGTCATTTGTGTTAAAGACGATCTCAATGAATATCGCTTCGTGGACGAACATATAAGTGAGATGCTTGCTAGTGACTTGCTGCAGGACGGAGTTTCCTGGAATTCTAGTGAGAAGTCGTGACCAATGAGGTCCAACCAGTCAAGTGTGAGGATGGATTTCCCATTGATGACATTGGTTGAAGTTAGAATTCATGGATTGGCCATTGAATCGGGTCCCAGTGGCTGAATGTTCGTCAACGAGCTTGCCTTGTAACCGGAAGTTCCTGGATTCGAATCCTGGCAGTGGGTGTGTTCTGCCGGTGATTCCCAAACTAGGATGAAGTAGCTGTCCAGTGCTCCCTGTGGCTGGTTTTCAATGGTTCTCTAACTGATATCAATCCGTGGGCAAACTCGCAAGAATAAATTTAATCCTAACAAACCAACCCTTGAAAATATAAGTAAGGAAATCACAGAAAACAAAGGATGACTACACACTTGCGACGTTCTAGTCGCCGAATGATTTTGAGGAAGTGGATGTGTAGCGATGGAGTTGATAATTAGAAGATGTTTGATGCTGTTGTCTACAGTGGTATATTAAATAATAATTTCATTCAAAGCGAATAATGATAGCTGAAGTTGGAACAAAACGCAGCTGAGATGAAAATGTAAGTGCTGGTCAATGAATACATGTCCAAACACTTGAATATTTAGAAAACAACAAAAATAGAACGAAGAAATAGCCACTTTTCAACTAGATTTATTTGAAAAATAAAGCCCAATGTTTAAAAACGTAAAGAGTCATCGACTAGACCGTGGTGCTACCAAGAGATTAGCAAGTGGATGATAACCGAAATTAGTTTCCATATATAAAATCTTCGCAAATAGCATAATAAATCGATCAGAAAATGGGAAAGGATGGCGAGATAAGGATAACTCGTTTATACAGTTTTAGGGGAAAAATCCTAATCGAATAAACGTCTGTAGCTAGGTTGTCATATTGTTCTAAATACAAGAACTCATTGCGATGTCAGCATTGGTAAGTCTGTCTGTCTGTATTCGACAAAGAACTTTGCAAATATGTGCGGCAGTTCAAGTCGCCACACTCCATGTAGCACACAAAGCAAGAGAAGAAAGTAGAAGAAATACATAATACAGTCAGTAAACAGAGGTGTGAGACAAAGGAATAGTAATAACGGAGAACAAAACAGTTTCATTGGAAATCATAAGTCACAAGGAGTGGATGCATCTGTGCCAGCCACTGAGAACGATTTTGAGCCATGTCACCAATTGTTTCAAACTATTGGTTTTTACCGTCCCGAGGACCCCAACCAGGAAGTCTACACCTTCCTACGTGGCCTAGACTAACTGTTGTCGATTTCATTGACTGGTGTCATGTTTTCGTTTGACTGCCGCTAGCTCTTTTCCAGCCTGGCCCTATATCAGCTAACATTGGCCGTCGAGGAAGGCGATGACTAGGCATACGTAGCACATGTCCTAACCGTCTCAGTCGATGTAATTTCACAGTCTCATCGACTGATTTCCCCTCCTTACCTAGCACTCGACGCCTAACCTCAATATTGCTCACCTTATTATACCACTTCACGCGGGAGATAGAACGCAGACACCTATGATCAAAGACAGCTACCTACACTGGCTTTTCATGTCTCCCACTCTCAATGGCCAGGTCTCACAGCCACAAAGGAGGCCGGAGCGGACTGATGAGCAGTACTCACGCCCTTTGGTCGATAGTCAGATATCACGTCTACGCATTGGTTGGTGGGAGGTATTCAGTTACCAACTGAACTACGGAAGTGTATTTGTGGCTCATAGGGAACACAGCAGCTGAAGTGTGTTAAACAGTCATTCATCCGACAATTAAGTCTGATATACTCTACCAAATGCCTTGGAATAATTGTTTAGCTTGCCACTGGGGTTCACCTGTTCTTGTAGAGTTGATAAAGACTAAGCAACTGAGACATCCGGCTCAGCTAATGCGTACCAAACAAATAACGTGGAGATTTTCATGGCGCATTCCACCTCGCTTACTTCACTCACTGATCTAGACAAAGAGGGAACTCTTTGTTTGTCAACAGCAGCCAGAATTGTTCTAGGTGGTTTTCGACTTATTCTAAAAATATATTCCTCAAGCTTATTCATAAACACTGTCATTGTCTCACAAATGAATGTTTTCCTTTTATTGGGAAGCCGTAAAAATGGATATAAAGCCATCACCATAACTGCATTCGAGAAACTTCTCTTTATTTTCCCTTCTTGACAAACTTATTCATCACTCCACTACTTGACACATGTTTCAAGAGTGCATCTACGTAGGCCTGGATTATAGGTGTAGACAGTCAAATTTCAGCTAATCAGTCCCACGTTTAAGTCTACCTCTCTTTCTCTCTGCCTAATTTAGCCTGGGTCGTATTATAAGCTGCCAGACAAAGTGTGTGTGGCTGATAGCCAAGCACATGAAAAATCTTTCCTAAGACAACAACTTATTCCTTACTAACTTTTAAGCAGAATTACATAGACTTACAGAGGATTAGAAATACACTCACAATTATACAAAAGTACATCATATAAATCGTAGTTTTATTTCATTATAGCTTAATTCCACACAGTATTTTTGATACAAGTATGGAATTTTCAGCATGTGATATCGGTAGCCCAAATTTTGCAGGCCGACCATTGATATCGGGTGTGCGTCGGCAGAGAATCAAGCCCCGGACCACATGCATGGTCGGCGAGAGTCCTAACCACTGTGCTACCGACGCACAGTAGTAGTATAATACTTGAACTACAAAGATATCTATGCAAACCATCCGTTAGTGATAAGCTACTTCAGATATGATAGATTAGAAATCCTAATTCCACCCATAACATCTTTAGGAATATGCATAAGACTTTACTGAATATACGAAATCTTAACTTCTGTTTCATTGTCTCTAGAACATTGCTCAAAGAACAAACTAATCAACTTGTTTCAGAAATGCCTTTAATTCAGCAGACTTTTCTGTCATGAAGTTGTTACATTAAACACGACAGTTTAAGGATGTAAAAAAACCTAAATAATTTCTGGGTTTGTGGAAGCGATCTTCGCCTGAACAAGTTCTACACATGTGTGGAACAAATACATTTCTTTGCAGCAACATTGACAGTAGTGTGCTCTCCAGTCGCCCGCTGATCTGCAGAAGCCCAAAGGACAAGATCCCGCATCTGACCACTTCTATGTATATATATCAGTTCACGTATTGCTTTGGAGCCAGGTACATTGGTCGTTCATCGCGCATCCTGTCCAGTGTGGCTGCGGAAAAGAAGTAATGGCCGCATCAGGAGTGTAATAATCGAACATCTCATCACCACTGGTCGTTCCATCTCAACAAACGCCTCTTCCTTCAAAGTAATCTACAAAGTGAAGAACAATCTGCCTACGTTTCCGTCTTCTTTGCATTGCAGAAGTCCTAGCTATTCAGTTAGAAGAACTAAAAATATGCATATAAGAGAAAATGATTCAACCACTTCTACTATCATGGTAACAACTCTGTTGACTTGACTTAACTTTTGCTTGTATGCTCATATTTCCAACTACTTAAAACTCTTACGTGATTCCGTGTATTATTTTGTTTCCATGATCACCCTAAGCACAACTCTTCCTTCAAACTATTCATGTTCTTACGTAACTCTTCTTTAACAATCGTTTATGATAACTCATCATACTACTAATCATGATAAATCATCATACTACTACTAACCTCTTATTTAAACGTTCAATTCCTCTGAACGCCTCTTGTATTATGCAACTCCCACCCCCAAAAAATCTGACTAATTGTATTGGGATTATTTGATATAAGGATAAAACTTGGGCACTGCTGTTTTTAATCCTTTACGTTCCCAGTGGAATACAGGGAGGGCTTCAAGCTAGAGGCTTGAAGTTTCAGTAACAGTGGTGTTCATTTTTACGGGATGAGCTTGCTAGTCTCATGCCCAACCTTCCCTCTTTACCAGCCTCATTACTGGCTCGGCGAGGTGAAGGAGTGCGTCGGTGGCCGGGATTCGAACCCCGAACCACATGAGTGGTCGGTGAACATTCTACCTCTGCGCTATCGACGCACTGTGGTGGAGTATAATTCCATAATGGAATTAGTTCGGAGTAAGTTAGTCAGATCATCGGAAAATAGAAGTTCACCGAGAGCTAGAATGACTGACTCTGCTAACCTAAATAATCTAGAAAAAACAAATCAGCCACTGTCATGCGTTTACTTGCACACAATCACAACACAATAGGGTGGGACAGAGCGAAAGTATTAAAAAGTAATACAGCTGGATAGAGAGAGAGAGAGAGGTTAACCACCGAAATTTTGTTCATCGAATGAATCACCACTAAACAGCAGGAATTGAATTAATGCAACACCTATACCAGCTATATGGAAAATTGTGATGAATAACGGTGGGGGGAATCACTGATGTAAGAATAGAACTTGGGCAATGTGGTGGAGTATAATCCCATTATGGAGGAAATTTTATTTTGATAAAGTCTAACAGTGTGCCATACAATAATATTCACTGATGACCGTTTCGAGCACAATTTATTGCTACTGCTCATAATCATATCAAGGTACTCACTGAAACAACTTTCTGACTTCGGTTATATACATGAGTAGAAAATTGATTAGACATATGAATTAATATAAAGTTCAACAACAAGTTGGCAGAAGAAGCATCAAAGATAGGACTTCAGGTGAACATAAAGAAAACAGAGGTGATGAAGATTCCTGGGCAACACCACCAACAGCAACAACAACAACAACAGACAACAATCAGCATAAATGGAAGGAACCTGAAAGAAACAACCTCCTTCACCTATCTATCTGGGAAGCATCGTTTCAACTACAGGCGGAACTGACGAGGATATCAAAGCGAGGCTCGGGAAAGCAAGACAACCTTTCACTACTCTCAAGTCTGTGTGAAGGTCAACAGCACTCAGCGTGAAAGACAAGATATGGATTTTCAACTCCAATGTGAAGTCAGTCAGTTCTACTATACGGATCAGAGACTTGGGGCGTCATAAAGAGCATCTCAAACAAACTACAGACCTTCGTTAACAGTTGTCTTCGCTCAATACTCAAGATCAGATGGCCAGAAAAGATCAGCAACAGAGATCTCTGGGATCGAACCAACCAGGAACTGATTGTGAAACAAATAAGCAAGAAGAAATGGAGGTGGATTGGCCATACTCTGAGGAAACCATCAAGTGACATCACTAGACAAGCCCTCGAGTGGAACCCGAAAGGGAAGCGGCGAGTTGGTCGTCCAAGGGTGACTTGGTGGAGGTCATGTGAAGAGGAGATGAAAACGTGTGGGCAGACTTGGAACCAGGTGAAGACTTTAGCAGAGAACCGAACGCAATGGAGACGCACGGCTGAAACCCTATGTTCCTCTAGGAATTAAAGGAAACAATAATAATAATAATAATTAATAGACATGCGTAAAACAGAAAAGGAGATAAAGTATATTCGGCAATAATATTAGTGCAATCAATGAAATATAATAAGATGGGAAAGAAGACGAGAGTTGTTAATCCATAAGTCAATAATAGTGAAACTAATAATTGTAGCATAAAGAATATAAGGCATCTCCAGTTCTACCATATAAGGAGGGGACATCTGAGACCCTACGTAGGATTCTCAATAAAGCAGGAATTAGAGTGGCATTCATAACCCACAAACTCACTCATGTAGGACAAGCTCTGTAGGCTAAAGGACCCTGTAGGTTGACCCAATTTGACAAAATAATATAATTTACAAAATACCTTGCAATGACTGTGAGTTAAGTCAACTACATAGGTCGGACCAGTAGATCGGGAGTAGTGAGATTATCAGAACATAAGAATTTAACTAAGGTTAGAATGATTGATCCCACGAAGACAAGTAATTTAGAAAAAAGCTCAGCAATCGCACTTCATGCATTAACATACAACCACACACGCAATGGGGTGTGTGGGACAAAGTTAAGATTCCAAAGAGTAATATAGGTAGGTGAAGTGAAAGAGAGATTGATTACTGAATCCTGGTTTATCGAGTGAATATACACCCAACACATGCAATCGAAGTGACTCAATGCAAATACCAGCGATATGTATGGAAGATATTATTACCACCAGTCAAATCAGAGGAGGATAATAAATAATGTTAAAATTTGTTTGATTTCAATTCACGTTATCACACTCTAACGTGTTATTTAATTATTTTACTGACAAAACATCTTATTCCCCATCTTATGCACTAACAACACTAGTCTTATTTCCGATCGTATCATATTTATTTATTGATAGCACTAATATGATTTCCGAAAGCACTTCATCTTCAATTCTGTCTCACGCATGTCTATTGAACTTTATACTGACTCATGTGCCTGATCAATATTTTACTCATGTATATAAACGAAGTCAGGAAGTTGTATGAACACACTGGTATGCCTATGAACATAACATTTTGCTAAAAACATCCTAATTTTAAGTATTGTTCATAAATGGACGGCTATTACCCTAAGAGGACTACAAATCGACAAACTATCAACAACTGTCAAAAGTTGAGAAGTCAAGGAAACAGTTTATTTCCGAGTGTATAGCACAGGAATATACAGTTCAGCAGAGTTAATTGAGACGCTAATACAGGATCCACAGGTTCACTGCATAGTCAAAAGAATAACCCACAAGGATGGCGCATCTGCCTTTAGTTAATTCATCAACACACAACAAAAAAGACAAAAGCAGCAATAGTCTAAAACAAAGCTTTATAATTATATAAGCTAAGGAGTGCTATAAAGTTAACAAAAGCAATCACTATTTTTTTTTACTATTTACAAAAATTATTGAACTTTAAATTTTACAGAGCATAGATTGTCTAAACCAATTTCAACTTCATCACCAATTTTCAGGGGGCCAACACCTGCAGGTGTACCAGTCAAAATAAGATCTCCATATTCTAATGAAATTCTTTGAGAGATTATTGATATCAAATCTGCCGGTGTCCATATCATCATATTCAGCTTGGATCGTTGACGTTCAGAATGATTCACTTTACACCAAATTTCATTGTTCACTGTTTGAAATTCTTCACGTAATTTTAAAATGTTGATGGGTAGAGAAGTCATTGGGAGAATTGGACCCACAGGGCAGGCAGTGTCAAAACATTTAGCTAGAGTCCATGGTAATTGCTTTGACTTGAGCTCATTCTGTAACAATCGATCGGTTAGATCTAAAGCGACCACATAACCCATCACTGAGGAAGACACCTAGAATAAACCACAGAATTTGGAGATTACTGATGGTACAAATAAAATTTATTTATCCAAAATATGAAACCAAGTCTTACCTCATTCGGCTTCACATTTGTTAAACGCTTTCCAATAACAAAGCCTAATTCAACTTCATGATGAACTTCCGTTGTTCCATTGGGCATCTTAACAAAAAATTGATTGGAGGTAATGTTGTTGCGCATAGCGAAAACAAACCTTAATATTTTCACCCTCTTCTATAATACAACTAGATGGTTTCATAAAGATGACTGGTGAATTTCCAACTTTATTCCCCAATTCCTTTGCATGTTCCCTGTGGGATGATTTGTTAAGAATGGCTAGTATATGTACGCATAGTTTCTGCCGACTGCGATAATTTTTCGACAAATACTCTTTAAGCTCGTTGACATTATTCTAAAAACAAAAAAGTGTTAGGATGTTGAATAATGCTTATCATTGAGTTCAAATTAGCAATAGAAATAATATAGAAAATCAAAACAAGTATTTCAACGAAGAGACTTTTCAACGAATCCATTATCAAACTGTACAATCGTATATATAGTTCTTTTAAAGAAATTATATCCGGTGAGGGAATTAGGTCAAAGCTGTGAATAAATCAAATAATAGAAGTAGTGTGAAATGCAATTAAAATATTTGTGATTATAATCATAGTTAGATGTCAAGTGGTAAAACAATTAATGTCATATATACAATAATTCATATGATGGATAGAACTTGGAAAGGGTGTGTAATTATAGGATTAGTAGGCAAATAAAAATGAAATAAAGACGCTACATGACAGTGTGTGAAATTTAATAACATTGAATTTAACTTGGCAAAGAAAATTGATTTAGAATGACAAGTGGAATCATATTGGGGACGGTTCAAAGTGAGAATAGTAATAGTAACAATTGGCGCAATAAGAGAAAAGTAGGCAAATTGAATAAACAAAACAAAAAATAAGTAGAGCCAAAATATGATTGGGGATAACCATACTTTAGCATAGAGGATTTAAGAATATGAAAGTTGGAGGGGTTGAACGGAATTTTCTGGCTTTTCTATTTCGACGGCCAAAGCTTCAGCAATACAGATAAGGCGGATACCCACTGATTATAATCACAAACATTTTAACTGTATTCTATACTAATATTATCTCATGTATTCACACCTTTGATTCAATTCCATCACCGGATATAATTTCTTATATATATGTACATATATATATATATATATATATACGATTGTACTCGTTGAAGAGAGTCTGTACGTTAAATCACTTGTTTTGATTTTCTATGGAAACAGTAGTCTACAGTTCTTACTTCTGGCCAATTCGTGGGGGAATTATATCACTCGTTGCGGAACATGTCTTCACATAAGGGTAGGTGCTCAAAGGAAATACTGTTTATATCCTGGCTTATATATCACTGGAAGAAGAACTCATAGACAATCAAGACAACCTGGATACTCTACGTGACCGGGACAAAACTTGATAACTATCCGATAAGGCTAGTAGATGTGGAAACCTATGTTGACAACCTCCAACCTAAATTTAGGTTACATCTAAGTACTTCATTTCTACAAACCCTCAGATCAATAAAAAACAATGGCGTTACTTGGTCAAAGAACTTAACATTTGCATATAAGTAGGTCAATATATATGACACTTCTAACGTTGAAGGTTTTATGTGGTTATATTAAGTCAGAATGAAATGACAAGTGAAAAGCCAAACAAACCCGGCTTAATACAGTATTTGAAATCTATTACCAAACACAGACGAGTAACAGGCTCCCTACACCGAAAAACCGTACGCAATTCAGGCTAAAGTTGTGGTGTAAAATGTTGTGATTCCTTCAGCACTCGAGTGCTAGGCAATAGTCTCCCCCTTAATTAATAGATACGGTAACGTTGGAAGTTCTTTACAGCACCAATTACACACCAATAAATTCTTACGAGAATATATGAATACGAAATGAACATTAACTTTGGATGGGATACTGAAAGATCAACCTGACCTTTCTTTTCTGTTAATTATACGACAGTTCCAAATGTAATCTTCCCACCCCTTATACATAGAGAGATAGCCTCTTAAAATTAGTGAAATCATGCACATTTCCCTACTATTACCAGATGCCACATGAAAATGAGTCCACGGTCTTAATATATAGTAACTTATGTCGAAATAAACTAAACAACAGGTTTTAGAATATTCTTCAAAGAACAGAATTATTTAGGAAATGTCTCATGATCAACATATTTTTCTAGAATGTCCTTAAATTAGAAAAAACGATAAGTTGTCTGTGACCACAAGGGTCGTTAATTTTCCTAACTGTGAAGACCTCCACGGACTTTGGGATAAGCACAGATTGATTTAAAAGACATTGATCAATTAGGGGTTTCTGTTATATTCCACAAATGGAGATATTGGCCGCTTATATTCACTACTGCTACCACCTGGTAATTCATCTTAATTCTGAAGCCATTTAGAGATATGCCTTGTGGCCATTACATGTGAATGCACAAACATTTAAACTGATACATACAGTAGGGGTGGGATAATATCTTTAATATATATCCCAAAGGCTGGGATAGATCCATCTGACTTAAATTTTTAATTCCAGGGATCTTAGCTGTATAAAAAGTCTTTTTGACCTCAGCTCTTTATCTTCACTACTGTGGAGTGCAGCTTGATAAAAAAATGCTTCTGTTCAAGTTGAAGAATAAGTCTTAACGCTATGAATGCCTTATACCTGCTTATCAGCTTCTCCGAATAACTGTTAAGAGTCAGTATTTCAGCCCATATTATTTCTCCGCCTTCAAATGTGTTAAGTGCAAACTCTTTGTATCCTAATATAGACATCTCTTTAATATCATCCCCATACACTTGGAGAGAATATATTGTACGTCTTTCTTTTCACATAACTACTCACTTTAGAAGCTGTAGCTCAGGAATTGAAGACTACTGAATAAAACCCTGATGTTAGAGAACTGAAACAAGGAGCTTGTATTTCTTGATATAAATATAAAACTTGGGCACTGTGGTAGAGTATAACTCCATTATAGATAAGATTTTATTTTGACAAATCACAGTAATATTAACTGATGAAGTTTCGAGCACAAATTAATAATCGTATCAAGTCACTCACACAACTTGATTTTTATTCAAATGTCTAATCAATTCTACTCATGTACATAAAATCAAGTAAAAAGTTGTGAGTGACTTGATATGATTATGAGCGATAACTTGTGTTCGAAACGTCATCGGTCAATATTACTGTACATCACTAAGTGATTTATCAAAATAAAAACTTACCTATTATGGAGCTTGTATGTCGTCAAAACAGGAGATTTCCTAATAACAAACGTTAAGTCTTCAGAAAGAAACGTCCTTCTCTCCCTATTATATACTCTTATTCAGTCTTGTGAACCGAAAATGCTTTTTTTACCATTCTTGGAACATCTTTGTGTGAAAAATTTTGGAAAGTGCACCAAAATATCGGTAATCTCTCAAAGCTTTAGAATTCCTCCAAAAGACCCAAAAATTGTTACTACAGGTAATATTTTTCATTTTATTCCTTAACCCCCCACCCTCTAGTGGAATATACTGCTTCAAACTAGAGATTTGAAGTTTCGGTAGCAGTGGTTTTATTTTTACAGGGTGGGGTTATTTAGCCTAGTATCTGGCATTCCCTCTTTATCGGCTTAGCGAGGTGCAGAAGTGAGTAGGCCGAAGATAAAACCTTGGAGCACATGCGCGATTGGCAATCGTTCTGCAGCCTAACCACCCAAGCTCACAACAATTCAGATTCAGTTGATAAGGATAGAAGGCTCTTGTGGCCTGTGTTAATCCTTGCAAAAAACAATTGTAAACTTATTCTAACCTTTTCTTCGATAATGCCTTTTTAATGGTAAATGAAGATTTTATTTACACACTATGTTCTGAAATAACTCTGATCGTGCTTTAAAAGAGAGCTGCGTGCTGAATTGTCGTTTCAAAAAGACAATTTAGTGGCCACTGATATGATTCATGGGGTAATTACCAGCTGGTCAGTAGTACAATTAATACGTTCTCTGCTCTATTTCCTTTAATTTTTATACACCACTATTTTGACGTCTGTCAGACAGAATCCTTAAAGGACCTCCAGATTCGACAAGTTCGAACACTTACCTCTCTAGGTCGAACGTCGTTTGTAGCGCCAGACCTTCAAAATTTACCGGACTCATACATCCTTATTATTAATTCTGTGTGTGCGTTAAAAATGTCTTTTCCATATTCCAGGTAATATGCTGATATACTGGTGTTGTCAAAAGTATATTCAGAGTAGTAAAAGCATTAATGCATGTTTTCTTGCAATGTTTATTCTTCATGATTTATCCAGCTTCATCGCCATTTTCGTGGATAACTATCTTCATCTGGGTTTTATCCAGGAATGGCACAGAAGACGACTGGGACATTAAATCTAGGGACAAAAGATCTATATCATGCCCACTAATAATCAGTTTCCATTTCTTTTAGTGTGTCATACGTGTATTTTCTAAAACCCTTTCAGACGTCGATTTCTACACGAAATTTCATTATTAAACTCACTAACTAACTTACAGAGGTACGACTTTCTCTGAATTTTCTCTAACCACATGTTACTAGCAAAAATCATTTAAAATATAAGAACTCGAGCCCATTTTTATGCAGCTCTGCAAACTGACTGTACTTTTCCGCAAAAGTTATTAGTCTCTCTCTTTCCACTTGGTCCCACATTTAGCCAATATACGCATCAGACTAATAGGTGATAATTAGGCACGTCAAATAATAATCCCACAGCTATTGCTCACTGTGAGAGACAACGGGAATATTTCTGTGAGCAGCAAGTAAATCTATCAGCCAGGGATAATAACAGCCTTAGATGTTATTTGTCAGCATCTTATGACGTGAAGTGCTTCAGAATCTTGGACAGTCCAAACGCCACTTTACTATCCATCGACGTAAGAAATGATAAATATCCTTCAACAACGAAACTGCTTAATACCTCTACATTACTGTCAGACGGAAACACCTGATTGAGGTATTCTAACACTTCGAATTCCCAGATACTGGGCTAATGGTTTTCATGTTTCGGAATTGTTTTACGCCACAGTGTACCTAGAACAATATAACTGAACAGCTTGACGCTTCATGCGACCAATACCAATCAGCTGTTATCTGTCATCCACAACAATTTTGTGTGAAAATAACTATATAAGACGCAAATTTGTACTGTAAAGTGGTACTTGTGGTTAAAAGTAAGTCCTTATCCCCCAATATTTAAATGGCTGAGTGAATTGTAGGTATTTGGCATCTAGTTAGATGCTTTGTTGTGTGTAATGTGATCAGTGGGCATCTCTCACTCCACACAAAGACTATAATGCGGTATTCAAAGACGACCGTCCGGCCGACAGCGTGAAGAGGAGAATATCAAATGCCCTAAAAAGAATTCCATTATGGGTAAAAAGAACATTCTCTGCCGCTACAATACGACTGGTATTCTCATATAGCCCAATGCTGTTCGACAAATCTAAACATAAACTATTGTATTTGACCACTTCTGTGTATCTACCAATGTACTTGTTCATGTTGATCGAGATATATAGGTCGTTAGAAGCGTAATTTACCTAAAAATGTCAAAGGACGTTGTCCCGCTTTGCTACGGAGAGGTAACACTGGATCAACAACAAGTGAACATATATTCAACAATGATCATTCAGTATGTAAGAAGGACTCACTGGAAGTCATCTATAAATCCAAAAGAAGCCTCCCGAAAAGGGCAAGCATCCGTACACCTTGCATTACAAATGCCTTGGCGATTAGGATGGAAAACCCAGATATTTGCTCACAGAAGAAACTTTTCTAACCCCTCCTCCTACATTGATTATTATTCCAAGTTCAACTATTTTGTCATTATTACTGCCTTGTGCATTTTCGTATGGTATATATATTTATTCCTATCCATGTAGGAACACACTGATTTTACAGGCATGGATAACTATTATATAAATTACGGAAGTTTCGTTTATGGTGAATTTACATGGTTGCAATACTTTTCTGGCTTCCCTTTGTGGGAACAATCAGTTAACTAGTCATTCAATGGAGCACATTGAGAAATATGGGGATATTGTCTTCGCATGTGTTGGATAGATAACAAATACATGGAAAAAATAAAGCTTGGAGTCAATCCTACCACATAACTCTGCTGTGTACCACACCAAATCTTATTCTTGACCTATATCCAAATTGTGTATTGGTTTTAAATAAGTAGTATATTTGTATAATTTCATCAGCAATTTCACCGCAGATAACACCAGAAATGAATTGTACCCCATGCAGTTGAATATTAGTCATAGACAGTCAGGTTTGTTTTACTGCACTAAAGTCAGTCATAACTGCCAGTTGTAGCTGCATGGTGTTCTGTACGATTAAGTTGATTAAGAGGAAAAAATTATTTGTAAACCAGTCGTATCTTAATTTTAGTTCATGGATACTGCCTGTATAGGATGTCATACAGCGTCGTGATATGGTGAAACGGATGGAAACTTAATGTCTGTATATGCATATATATGTTTATATCCATAGTTTGTCAATGTAATCAGTAGAATGAGACAGTGTGTACAGACACCGTCTGAAACTTATAACCCAGGTGAAGGTTCTGATTTCTAGAGGCGAACTGATCCATATTTTAGAATCCATGCCTGTGAAGAAGTTCTCTTGGAGCGGTGATCAAAACGCCTTTACTTTCACTGTGCAAATTTGGTTACGCAGATCTCAAAAGTCTTGTGGTGAGAATTGTATGTTCTTATTGTCCGAGAATAATACTTTTGTAGGACCTTAAAGAAGAATACTAGGATAATAATGAGTCGTCTCGTTCAGAGTGGGTGAAGTTTTAAAGTCATACCCCTTGAAACGTGGTCTTCCTTCCAATTTTACCCATGTGGTCTCGACGTGAAATATCGTTGGACATTTCCCGTTCTCATCTTGTAACACATGCGAGTGCAGCTAATAATAAATCGACAGTATCCTAATAGTGGCCCTGCACATGTTTTGTATAGAATCAGCTTGACTTCATTGTCACGAAAGTTCCTGAGTATGCATACTAAGAACATCCTCGGCTTTCAAGTTTGTGGTGCCACTTTCTCATAAAGTGTTAGGTCGCTAGAGTGCCTCAGGCCTAAGTCAGCGGCACTTCGGAGTTTGAAGCGTTAATTTTATGTCAATTTAGGGTGTGCTGAAACAGATCCAACCATATTTGTTCAGATTAAATTTTAGATTTCATAAAGATGACCGAGCATTCACGTTTTCTAATTTATTCTATACCACATTCTGAAAACACCCTAGGTCATCACATTGGAATACACAAGCTACGTTTAGGCCATCTTCAAAGATAAGTAGTTTCCCGCGTAAGAAGAATGCGCACATGTCGTTGATATAAAGTGTAAATAGGAGGGGCCTAATGAGGCTACTTCGAACTACACGGAAACTGGTTGGGCTAGGTTTGGAAATCACAGACCCAGGTGGAACTATTTGAGACCTGTTGTTGAGGAATGAATTAAGCCATCCTTTAGTGGGTCACGTATTCCTAAAGAATTCAGCTTGTGTATCGGGGACCAATGGTAGACGTGGCCAAATAATTTAGAAATGTTGAGTTAAATGACAAGTGCTAGTTTCCGTCTGTCACAACTACAGCTCGCAAAATTGAAGAAGTCATGGCAATAGGTTAAAGATGACAGGGATTTCAGGAGTCCATGTTGGTTCGGACTTACAATGTTGCACTCAAGCACATGTTTGAGTATGTTGTCTTCGACTAGTCTCTCCATAGGTGTTATATTGATCGGCATTAGTTGTTGACTTCTGTTTTTGAACCGCATTTGTTTTTAGGTACAGTAAATGTCATTTTGCATCTATCTGGGTAGGTTTGAGTTTCTAAGGACATTGTGGAGATTTAAAGCGTTTATACGGGAATTTCAGTACTGCCATATTTATAGGAATACGACGATATACCGTCAGTGCCAAAACCTTTAATAACATCTTTTTTCAACTAACGCGTCAGTAACGGCATTACGTAAGTTTGTGGTGATCACAGTGCAACTCTCCGGAATTTAGAATTTTATTACATGCATATAATCACTAACTCAATTTCAAAGCAAGCAGTATTAAAAGACGGATGGTTGGTCGAATACTTACTGATCCACCAAGTATCAACCAATATAACAGGTTAATTACTCAGCAGTTTGATCATGTCATTCACAGTTGATTAATATCAACAAACTAAAAAATTATATGAATAAGGTCAGCATATTACACATTAATACTTTTGA